GCCGCACCCCAAATCCCTGTCCCCAGATCCTCCAGTGATGTTCTCACTACCTAGGGCACGTGTGAAGCTTTAGCAGTCCAGCCGTCATTAATTTCCTTTCATGTGAGTTTCCTTTCATGAAAAGGGCTCAGTGAAAGTTTTCTGGAAAACTACTCATCACAACAGCCAGATCCCTGCACGGGTCTGTCAGGTCGTGGAGCTGCCCTGCTCGCAGCCCTCCCATGGCTCCCGGGTCCCTCTCCTCAGCGTGGTCCTCTCCCCACCTGCTGGGCCCCCAGTTCTTACGCGTGTGTGGACTCTAGGGCCCTTTTCCTTCACTCACCCTCTGGCATCAACCCACCCCCTGTACCCTACGTGCCACCTTCCCGGAATGTTCCTTCCTTGGACACCCTCGTGTTTGTTCTCATCTTCTTCAGGTCTCTGCGCAAAGGTCAGCTTCCCGGGGAGGCCTTCCTGACCGTGCCGCTGCAGGTGAAGCACGGCCCTTACCCGGTGCTGTGTGCTTCCCCGTGGCTCTAATTACACCCTAATTAATTTTCTGTATTATTTTCTTTTCCCACGAGAGCACAAGACCCACAACAAAAGGACTGATTGTCTTGTTCACTGGTATTTCTTTTTGGTACCCAAAAACTCTGCTGAATGAATACGTCAGTATCATACTGTGCCCAAGTTGGTCCTCTTCATCTGTGTTCTGATTTATGAGATCACAACTTGTCTGATTATCAGATCCAATCTGAAGACCATGCTTGAGTCTCTTCCCTTTTTTCTCTTTTTAGCTTCTTTGTTAGGGATACATGTACATACCTATGTGTATGCAATTCACATACATACAATCTGAATATTTAAAGTGTGTAATCAGTTTTCGGTTTATTCAGTTATGTGACCATCAATCACCACAATCACTTTGAGAACATTTTTATCACCTCAGAATGCAGCACTTCACTTCACAGACATCACTGTATCACTGCTAACCTGATTTCTGACTCTGTGGGGGTTTGCTTGTTCTGGACATTTTGTGTAAAGGAAATTCTGTAATCGTTGAACTGGCTTCTTTTAGCCTAACATTTTCAAAGATCATGTTGTCAACTGTATTTGTATTTCCTTATTTCTGCAGCTACATAATGTTCTGCTGCATAGATCGGCAGCATTTTGTTTATCCTTTCATTCTAGTTGTTCCCAGGTTAGGACTGCTGCGAACCTCTGTGCTCTCCTTTGTCTCTGTGGTCACCCAGGGTGCCACTGGGCACAGGGTAGCGCCGGGCGTAACCTTTGGAAGAGCTGCCAGCTGTTTCTTCCTCCCTTTCCCGATGGGTCCACCCCCAGCCACAGACCAGGGGCTGTCTCTCCCCTTGGCTGCAGTGCCTCTTAAGAGGCCACTCTCTAGCAAGTCACTGTCGGCTACACGTCAGTCCCAGGGGAGGCAGTTTCAACCCCTCAGAGCCCAGGCCACACCCCAGCCTGATGCCAGCAGCCTCTGCAGGTGGGCCCCGGGCACCAGGACTTTCCCTGGTGTGTGGCCACGGGTGAGAATGCTGTCCCTCCTTCCTCCAGCCACACTTCACCTGCTGCTTGAATGCTTGCTCTACCGCAAATCTGGCAGTGGCACCACACCCTTCTAGAATCCTCTCCATGATACAAGCTGAGCTCCCGGTGTGCACATGAATTTGTGACCTCTATCCATCCTGTGCTGAGCTCCACGGGCTTTCTGGAGTGTGAAGGCTCAGCCACACCCCCTCGGGACAGGCCGATCATTCCCTCCTCCCAAAGTGCCTCTGCCCGTCTCTAGTCCTCTGTAGCAGGTCCTCCCCAACAGCTCACCTTGCTGGGCTGGGTGTCACCCTTCTCAGGCCTGTGCCAGCGTTGGTCTGGCCCTGGCTGCGGTGTGGCAGCACTATAAATCTCCAGGCTCGGGACACAGATCCGGTCTCCTTGCAAGCTGTGAAGAGTGTGGCACATGCACAGTCGGTACAGAGCATAGCAAGGCCCACTTGCCTCCCGCCCACTGAGCTCTCCGCTCCCTCCTCTCCCCACAGGGGCTTCACTATCTTGGAGCCGTTGGAGGCTGCAGGGGCAGATGCTGGTGCAGGAGTCCTCCATGAGCATCAGCCCATGCTGACAGAACCTTGCTTCCTGGGAATCGCAAGAGCACTGTAAAGGGATCCTCTCTTCCACCATGAGTGACTGTGGGGGCCTCGGTTTCCTGTGAAGTGTGGGTGCATGGGTTGGATGAGTCTGGAGGCTGCTTTCAGCCCTAATGCTTTGCTCCAGCTGAAAGCCGTAGTGTGAGTTTCCCTCATGAGTCCTGAAAGATCAGGAAAACCATGTGCAGGAAAGACTAGAGTCAAACATGGTGAACTCCAACGAACTTGAAAATAACCACCCATTGTCTTCTCATTTCTCCTGTATCTAGCCTCCACACACACGTGGTGGCGCCGCTGTGCAGGGAATAGCACTGAACAAAGAATCTCCAAGGGATTAATTTCTGCCCTGCCCTTGAAGGGCAGCATCTTCAGAGCTAGTTATTTTTCCCACTGAGGCCTCAGTTGGCTCACCTGTAAAAGGGGATGTTTGATATCTTCCCAACGCATCAATGGGCCCTTGCTCAGAGCCTGCTCTGTGCCTGGCTGAGTGGGGTTGAGTGGGGTGAGGGAAAAGTGAAGAGGACAGGAAGAACTGTCCGGCCGGATGGCGGCCATAGCCTACTGTTGTAGTATTGGGTGTTCTAAGGCTGACGATTGGAGTAAGGAGTGCATTTCAGTCTTCAAAACATCCTTCTCCTCTTGAATGGAAAGTGCCTACTTTCAAGTCAATACTAAGTGTTCGGTAATAATTAGCTGCTGCTGACAGTCCGGAGCAAAAGGTCTTAAATGCTGTGCAGTCCGGGAGCCAAGGAAGGCCAGCTGTAGCCGATTGGTCATCTGGCCATCGTTATAAAGTTTAAAAAGTTCGGGACTAGTATGGGAATGGGAGAGTGGTGGAACGAACCATCCACGAAGGCCACACGCAGGCTGCGGGAATATAGGGATGAAGTAAATGAGCAAGGAGGCCTTCCACAGCCCTGGGGGAGGACGGCTGGTTTGTCAGATCAGCGGTGCAGACAATTGGCTGAGTGCTCACAGCCATAAAGCTACATCTCTGCCTCCTACCACGTATCAAAAGATTCAATGTCTGTTAAAGAGTTACGTGTAAATCAACCCAAGATTGAAGAACAATGCTCAACAACAAAGAACTGGCTAAACTATCGTATATGGGTTCAATGGACTATTATCTAGTCCTTAATGTCACGCTTTAGAATTGGCAATGCTCACAGGCTATTATTAAAAAAGCAGACAACAACAGTATATAGCTGATGACCAGTTTTGTAGCTTAATCCCCTACAATGGGCTGGGCCTGATGGCTTATGGCTAAAATCCCAGCATTCTGGGAAGCTGAAGCAGGAGGATCCCAAATTTGAGGCCAGCCTGGGAAATTTAGCGACTTAGCAAGACCCTGTTTCAAAATAAGAAAGGGCTGAAGATGTAGTTCAGTGTGAATAAGTTCAATCCCCAATATATACATGGGATTGTGGACACTTGTGTTGCTGATATATAGGGTATACTCACACCCATAAACACACTATAAAAATGTCTGTAACAAAACATATCAAAATAATATTGATCTCAGGGTGATAGCAAGTAATTTTTACTTATACATATTTCTTTGTGTTTTCTAAATGTTCTACAATGAATTCATTTTTGTTGTTATTTTTTGGTACTGGGGATTGAACTTAGGACCTTGCGCATGCCAGCAAGGTGCAACACCACTCAGCTACATCCCCAGCCCAACTCATTGTTTTTATAATATGAAAAAACAATACATGTTATTTAGACAAACGTTCTATCATGCCTCTAATATTGAAATAATTTAAGCACTTTGGTTAAAGACAAGGAAGACAAATTTGGGGAGCAGACCTCATGAAGACTGGGAGCCCACAGGGCTAAGCCGTCCTACTTTTCCCTAACACAAGGCCTTGGAAAAACTGCCCTGGACTTTAAACCTCTGCTGGTGCCTGCCAGCAGGTGTGACCTGTGCTTCTCTGGAAAGGAGACTCCTGGCCCACAGGTGGAAAGCTGTTCCTGTGCACCCCAAGAGGGTTCAGGGGTAGCTAACACGATTTCATTCTCAGGGGAGAAGTAAAGCTGGTGATTACTGTCCCATGAAAATATTTCTCCTGTAAGTGTTGTTAGGGTCTAAGGGTACACAGCTTTAGTAATAGAGTACTTGCCCGGTATGTGCAAGGCTCAGAGTTCAATCCCAGTGCCCCCCAACCCCAATTCCTTAAACATCTGATGTCCATAGTTACTGTTATGCTAGCATTTCATGGGATATTATTGGATTTAATACTGACTATATGTTTGGCTCTAACTTCACTCACCCTATTGCCTAGAAAATAATCTCAAGAGAATGAAAAATCCCAACAATTTGGGATTTTGTTGTCTATAAATTCCCCCAGGTGGTTCTGCAACTCATCAGCTTGAGATGCCTTTGTTGCATATGCCAGAGTGGCAGGTCTCACACCGTGCTGTAATTACAATCACTTGTGCAGCTTCTAAAATTCCCAATGGGAAGACCAATACTTCAGGCCACAAAATTCAGATTCTGTGGGGACCTATCAGTTAGTTGTTAAAGATACCCCACATGATGATCTCGATGCAGTTAGGGTTGACCCTGTTTCCAAGGAGAGCAACCTGATACCCAGCAGGGACAGTAGGGCTCAAATCTTCAGATTGAACAACTTTGTGTCCTCTGTCTCCCTCTGTTGGCCATTCTGCCACACTGCTACAATTTTCTTGAACTGTACCGTTTTAAGGTATTCAAGATAAGCTGCTACTTCTACTTTTATTTTGGTTTTGATTGTGTTATTTTTAGTGTGTCTGTGAATGCATTTTCTTCCTTTTTTTCAGATAATTTTCTTTATTAGTATATGTTTGTAGTACAGAATGTTTACATCCCTTGTGGAGAGTTGGTACGTGTACATAATACATCTTAGTTCCTTTTTCCATCCCTTTTCCCTTCCATCCTTCCCCGCCTCTATCCATCTCTCGGTCCCTTTCCTTTTGGGTACACATTTGCAATACATAATGTTTACATTCCTTGTGTGGAGTTCATACACGTACATGTTTGTAGAGCAATGTTGCAGGCATCACAAGACCTAATTTCAAAATATAGTAACAAAGCCATAGTAACAAAAACAACGTGGTACTGGCACAAAAACAGACATGCAGACCAATGGAACAGAAGACATAGAACAAACTCATCACTACAGCCATCTTATTCTTGACAAAAGCACCAAAAGTATATGCTGGGAGAAAAGACAGCCCCTTTTAACAAAACTGGGTACCTATTACTGCTGGAAATTGAAGCTAGGTCTCTATCTATCACTTTGTAGAAAAATCAATTTTAAAAACTTAGGAATGAGACTTAAAACTATGAAACAGCTAGAAAAAAACCAGGAAACATTTGAAGTCATAGGCACAGGCAAAGACTTCCTGAATAGGACTTTAACAGCACAGGAAATAATAGCAAGAATAAACAAATGGTACTACATTAAGTTAAAAAGCTTTTACACAGGAAAGGAAAACAATCAATAGACTGAAGAAACAGCTTACAGAGTGGGAGAAAATCTTGGCCAGCTACTGTTCTCATATCTAAATATAAAGAACTCAAAAAGCTTAATGCCCCCCAAAACCAAATAGCTCAGATCAACAACGGGCAAATGAATTGAAGATACTTCTCAAAAGTATCCATGGCCGACAAGCATATGAAAACATATGCAACATCTTTAGCCATTAGGAAAATGCAAATCAAAACTATGCTAAGATTCTATTTCACCCTGGTGAGAATGGCTATCATCAAGAATATCAGATACAGAGCTAAGATTAGTAATATCAACAAGAATGAAAATGGGGAAAGGGTATTTAGAGGAAGAAGGGATACCTGGCACATAAAAAGCAGCCAATGAATGTTAGTTATTACCATTACAATGACACCTAAATTACACCCCAGTTAGACAATGTAATTCTTATATCCTTCTATTTTTTATTTTTATTTTTTTTGGTGGATCCGGGGATTGAAATCAGGACCTTGCACTTGCCAGGCAGGTGCCGTGTCACTGAGCAACATTCCCAGCTCTATTCATTTATTTTCTGACACTAAACATCCTGCAGAACCTACTGGTACGGAGGTCTCACACTGCATCCCGATTCCTGGGCTCCCGGTTGCCCAGGTCAGAGGTTCTACCATCTCTGACTGTGGCCATGGTAGGAAAACCATTCTCCCAAGGGGCTGAGCCCTTTGAGCAAAGTTTAAATAGCTGCTGACCCATTCTGAATAAATGGTGGGCAGACTGTTCCAGTCTCTAAAATTAAACCCCACGTCTCCTGTACTAGTGCTTGGGACTTCCTACTGCCAGATTTGACACCTGGAAAGTATACAGGAATGGTCACGGGTTTGCTGATCCTAGGAGTGCTGCTTCTGATCCAGAAGAATCAAAATAAATGGTCAGGGTATCTTCTAAAAAGCCCACAACAGCCCTTTTGGCTGTGTCCCCAGCCAGTGCCTGAATACTGCTTATGTGCTCTAGGGCCACTTTAACCATTTGGTCTCTTTCCTGTGCGTTATGGGAAGCCCCAGAGTCTTCTCTCTTTGCTCCTGATTTTAAGAACTGTAGGATATAGGACCGGATCATCCCCCCATTCAGTTCAAGGGTTTCTTTGATGCAGGGCAAATCTGAGGCACTTGCCAAGCTCAAAAGATGAATCAATGCCTGGCAGATCTGGGTCCGGAGGCTGGAACAGTACTTGAATTCCAGAAAGTCTGTGGTGTCTTCACTCTTCTGTAAGGCCATGACCAGCGAGTTCCAGATCCAAGTGTACTGCTTTACAGACCCATACTGCTCTCTCCTGCCTGGGATGGAAAGGGCCGTGGCCGATCTAATGCGCACTTTGAAGTTCTTGCATGATGTCACAACCAGTGTTAGGGCGTTGTAGGCCTGGGAGGTCCATGGCGCTGTGCCTAGGAAGAATCCAGCCATTGAAACTAGTGAAGGCTTAAAAGAAGAGGGTGCGCAGGAGAGGAGCTGGGGAAGCAGCACACCAGTGGTAAGATAGCTGTTTTAGCAGCCCATTCCATTCTCACAGTAACCCTTAAGCTCAGGGAAGTGAGTGACTAACCTAGGGATCTAGGTAAGTGGCTCAATACTGACCCCCAAACCTTCTCCTTTCCCTAGGCCAGCCTGTAGTATGCTTAGGGCCTCTGCTAACTAATACAGGGCCTTTGGCGACTTAGAGAAAGGCTTTTTTTCTGGGAGGGCTCCGACCCCCGACCGAAGTGGCAAAGCTTGGTGGGAGGTGCATGGACAGAGTAACATTGTTGAGTAGTATACAGCTGGCACAAGTATGTGCAGCAGCTCTGTTCATGCTAGCAAAAAGGTATTTCCTCATCTGGATTAGGATCCAGACATTGCTCTCACCACAGCAAGTCATGCATTTCACTGCAAAGAAATACAAAACTTCTGATTTCAAGAATAAGATGATCAGATTTCTTTTTTCCATCTCTGTAGACTGCAGGGTATCAGTTTGATTTCTTCTTCCCCAGAGATACCACTATCTACTGTTACGGGAAGTCCTTATCGTTGAGGATGGGCAGAGTGGAATGCAGCTTCCCTACCTCTCCAAGCCCTTTCTTCCCTGCTTTGCTGCCTTTGAAGACAGGTAAATGGGCCTTTTCCAAATGTACACTATTGCCATTTACCAGGGGCCACTGCTCCAGGTCCTGGAACCTTACCCTGTACCTCTTCTCTCCTTGGTCAGTTTCCTGGCTCCTTTTCCTTATGTGGTTCCCGCATCGATCTGCCTCCTCAGCGGAAAAAGCTATGAGGTCTTTCTCCAGCAGTTCTGCTGGTTGCTCTGCCTGGGTGCTCTGGGCAATAAGGGGAGCAGAGCCTGACCCCCTCTCTCGGTGCATGTGCTCCAGGCCTATTCGGCTCTCTCCTTTCAGGCACACACCCTTCTGAGGCTTCAAGCCTGAGCAGAGGCAGATGCCTAAGGCAGATGCTGATGTTCACAATGCAGGGGTCGGGAGGCTGTCATCCACATACCTACGCCATCCCCACCAGCCCAAGGATGTTATCAAGGGACACATCCCGCCATGATGACACAACAGAGACAGATGCCCTCTTTATATGCAGCATCCATTTCTGTGTTCAGAGCTCATGGGATTTCAAATCTGTACTTTCTCTCTTTCTAATTTTTTCTTGCTTTTCCTTGATTGCTTAGACAATATATGCTCATCGTAGAAAACTTAGAAATGAAAGAAAAAAATCCTATTCATCATTGTATACAGAGGCAATCTCGGGAAATAATTAGGTCAACTTCTTTTCTTTTTTCTACCCTATCTACTGAAATTACAATTTAGACATGATTTAATAACTTGCTTAGTTTGCTTAACCAGTTGACAATTTACCCTGAGCATTGCTGGGGCAGTTATCACTGCCACCAGGTGATTTTTTTTTTTTGGTACCAGGGATCGAACCTGGGACCTTGTGCTTGCGAGGCAGGCAGTGGAACCGCTGAGCTAAATCCCCAGCCCCAACCAGTTGATTTTTATATTGAGTAAATTTGATAAATTGCCATTTTTACATTTCCTGTTATCTTATAAAAATTTACAAAAAATGCAATTTTTGTATTGTTACCCTGTATTTAAATAACTGGACTAGAAAGTGGTTAATATAAGAAACAGTTCCTCAGATTATAAAAAAATTATAAATATAATTTTAAAAGGCAATAAAGTACCCCACTGAATATATATACAATGATTTATTTCACCAATCCCCTAAACTTGGGTTTCCAGTACATTTCATGTTGTTTTCTAATCCTGTGACAAAAACATGACAAACACCTTTAACTACAGTGTAGATGAGTGTGTGCCTGCCAAAGAGGTTCTCTACCAAGGACAGGGAAACAATCTTACCGAGTGGAAGGGCAGGATTTTTAAATACATTTCCCATCGCGTAACAAGCATTCCATCGAACTTTCATGGCAGCCTCGATCAGAACAGTAGAAATTAGGGCCTGGATAGACTCTTCAATAATTTCAGCAAATCTAGGTTTTTCTATATGAGATGGCTGTAGAAAATGAAGCAAATTTCCAAGGGCCCGGACTGCATTGCTTTTTACCTAGAACAACATGTCAAAGCTTTAGAAATCCATTTTGCTGTAGAGGTTTGGGAATGTATAATTTCCACTTTAAAAAGCCCAGGAGGGCCAGGGATTTAGCTCAGTGGCCTCATAAGCTCAAGGGTCTGAGTTTGATCCCAGGTACAAAAAAAAAGCCCAGGAGATCCTAGATTTCTCAAAGCAAGAGAGCTAATGAAATGTGCAGTCCACATAAGGAAGTAAGTCCTCAGAATTATGCAAGGTTATGTCTGGTTAACAGGCACAATAAATTTTAAAAGCACGGGCAGGGCAAGCCAGGACTTGAACCCATGGTACACCTTACCTAAAACATGGCCTATGCTTTTAACATTTATTGTGTAAATAAATATTCAAAGCCAGGGTTACTACATCTTCCTAACTTGTCAGTTCCATTTTTAAATAACAGACTAATATTACCACAGACATGAATATATCATGTAGTATTGTAAAGGGCACTGGTATTTTTCATGAGACAGAAGACACTAAAGAAAATGTGCCAGTGTGGAGGGGGCCATGCACACCCTGCACATACTCTGTATCCCCTTTGAACAGGGGGAAACAGGTCAAGGAATATTACACCACAGTGAACTATCAGCTATCCCGCAACTGTGTCCACTAGGTATCTAAGCAAGAAGTACCAGGTATTCTTGTGAGTCTACCTTGTCTTTGTCCTTGGAGGCTTCTATTGCTGATCGAAACATTTTCAAGAGCAGGAGACCAGAGAACTCTTCTTGGAAACTTGGGTCTGGTGTTTCCCTGTTCCACCCAAAGCATGCAAAACAGGTTAAAATGAGAGAAATGAAAATTAAAACAACACTAAGATTCCATCTTACTCCAGAAAGAATGGGTATCATCAAGAAATCAACTAACACATGCTGGCAGGGTTATGGAGAAAAAGGAATCCTTCTACATGGTTGGTGGAAACGCAAACTAGTGTAGCTACTATGGAAACATCAGAATGGAGATTCCTCAAAACACTGAAGACAGAAATTCTATTTGACCCAGCTAGGTGTCTCCCTAAAAGAGTTAAAGACATCATATTACAGTGATACATGCATGCCCATGTTTCTAACAGCATAATTCATAACTGCTAAATCTCACAAGTGGCCTATGTGAATAAAGGAAATGTTCATAAAAGAGTAATACCCTGCCATAGAGAAGGATAAACTGAGTCATTTGTAGAAAGATGTGTGCACTTTGAGACCATAATGTTGTGAAACGAATCCAACGCAAAAGTTTAAATATTGCATGGTTTCTCTTATATGAGAAACTCAAGCCATAAATAAAGAGCAAAATAAAAGGCAGATAATGGGAAAAGGGGAGACAGATGTTTTGCAAAAGGGAAGGGGACCAAGAGATAAAGAGAGAAGGGAGAGGGAGGGGATGCAAGAAAAGAATTAGGATGTACTATTGTATGTACCAACTTCCCATGACGAATGTGGTCACTACATACTGCAAACATGTATAGTACTAATAAAAAAATAAAAACTGGGAAAAAAAGAGTAAACAACTACCAAAACTTAGGAAAACAGTTCAAGTCTGCTCAGATTATAGCCAGAACTCAGTATGTATCTTTTGACCCAGTAGTTCCATATATAGATAGCAATGGCCCTACAGAATATCTGAACATAAAGATGTCACCCACAAAAATGTTCACTGTGTAGAGAAGCCCACAAGCCTAAAGCTGAAAACAAATGCTCAAGGATGGTTAAGCATTTGAATGGTTAAGGACTCATCACATAGTGTTGAATATATCATAATAAACAAGAATTTATTAGAAGTCCGTAACAGAGAATGCTTATACGTGTTACTTTCACATGTCACTTATGTGGAGCTAAGTGACAAAAATCAGGACACTTGTGTATGATAACAATAGGTACCTCTGGGGAGGGGAATGGGAGTGCTAGGGCAGGAGACTGGTTTTACACTAATACAGTAAACAGTACCCCTGAGCACTGTCTGAATGTTTTTAAACTTGTGAATATATTACTTTAAAAAATAGAAACAACTGTATTTTAAAAATAGAGTATCTCAAAGTTTTGGATTTCTACTTTGTATTTTCTATGATATGGGTATATTAGATATTCCAGCTTATGGTATTTTTATACATATACCTTAATATACTCCTCATGTATGGTAAGAACTGGGTATTAAGCTTGGTGTGGTGGCACACACCTGTAGTTCTTATACTCTGGGAGGCTGAGGCAGGAGAAGCATAAGTTTGAGCCTAGTCTGGATAACTTAAGAAGACCCTGACTCAAAATAAGTCATTGTGAAGTCCTGGGTATAAAAGAAAAATAGAACAAGTTATTAATCTTATTACTTAAAGTAGTATAAAACAAACCAAAGAAGCATGACTACATTATGTAGGGGTGAAAAATACCCTCTCGAGACTTAACCTTGAAAGTTACCCAGGGAAAACAAGCTAAGTCACCCACATGTTGATGATCAGAGTGTCTGTCAGGTTGCCCAGGGACCAGGCTGCTTTGGCACGGACATTCAGAGACTTGTCTTGAAGTGACATCAATATTGCATTTGCTGTGTCTGCAACAAATATGACATCCTGTAATATAAACCAAATGCTGCATTACTTTAGGAGTTTACACTGCTGCCTCTGAAATTCCTAAATTTATTTTTATATAAAGCCTTTACCACAAATTTCAATTTGGAAACCAAAATTTATTTACTTGATCAGCATACTGTTACATATTACACTTTGGACCCTCCACACAATCCTGGAAAAACTCCTCCATGATTAGTCTATGGCACGCACACCGGAGGAGCCTATGGATTTTGCTCTTTGTAAACATCCTACATGGCCCGTGACAGGCACCTATGTGTTCTGAGCTTTGGTTGATTTCCACCTTCAGGAAACAATGTTTTGACAATGAGTACATTCTAAAACACATTCTATTCATTATACATCTCTCAGTGAGATGAATGCTATGAATGAGTAAAGGAGAATTTCATTTCTTTAGTAAAACCTTATCAGTTTTTCAAATTATTACTTTCATATGGTAATGTCCCTTTTCATTTCTATTCATCCATTAAGTTAAGCATTTACCGGGCACTGAGGGTCCTGGACAGCATGGTAAGAAATTAGAAATAAACGAACTATGGGTATTACCACATTTATGTAGCAATTAAGAGAAATGGATCACAAAACATGTTAAATGTCTTCATTGTCTAACTCAGGAACTCTACATCCACAAAAACAACAACAAAAAAGATTGTAAAGAGACATACAAGAGCTAAACAGGATCATTCTGACCTGTCTGAGACAAGGAAAAAGCACATAGACTCCAAGGGCCCGTGTGGTTGCAGCTTTCACTAAACGGTTCTTGCTGTCATTCAGCCCAAGCAGCATTGTGATGCACAAAATCTGCCTGTCATTCTGCAATGAGAAAGTTGACAAAGAGAAAACTGAGAATGAAATAACTACTAGCCAAAGTCTTCCACATGTGACTGAAATAAATCTGTTTGAGCTCCATAGTCAGGACATGAAGACCACAGTGATCCTGAGGCCACACTGGTAAAGAGTGGACTCAATTCCAATCCAATGACTGAGAATCCAGCGTGTGCAAGGCACACAGAGCATCACATATTTAACCTTTCTGCTGTGTGAACTAGGTCATTGCTTCATTAAAACTGCTTTCTTTATAGAAGCTAATTTTCATAAATAACAGACACAAATGTCATTGAGGACTATAGAAAAGGAGCAGTCTGAATACTACTATGGTTCCTGTCTCCTCCGAATTTGGAGATCCTTACCCAAAAGGTGATACATTATGTATGGTTTAGAAGATCTAGAATGTTCCTAGAAGTCTCATGTATTCAGAGGCAGAGCTTTTGGAAGGTGACTGGATCAGAGGACACTACACTCATGGGTTTATCCACTGATGACTTCATGGCTAAATGCAATGTTAGGAGGTGGGGCCTGGTTAGAGGTGGTGAGAGAAGGGTCACTAGGGGTGTGACTTGGAAAGGTATATTCTTGTCCTTGGCTTCTCCCTTCTTTCTCTGCTTCCTGGCGGCCATTGGCTGAGCAGCTGTCCTACCCAGTTCCTTTCACCTTGCTGTCTCTACCAGCCAGCCAGCCATGGACAGAAACCTCTAAAGCATGAGCCAAAATAAACCTCTCCCTAAAGTTGTGGATGCCAGGAATTTTGTTCCAGTGCCAGGAGTGCTGGCTAACATTTGATGGTATTAGGATGTGGGGCCTTTGGGCAGAGCTCTCATCAGTAGGGTTAGTGCCCTCATGAATGAGGCCCCAGAGAGCTGCCTTGCTCCTTTTACTATGTGAACTAGAAAGCATTGTCTATGAATCAGTGAGTAAGCCCTTATTATATACCAAACATATGGGTACAAATCTCAGAACTGTGAGAAATTTCTGTTGTTTAGAAGTCCCTCAGTTATGGTATTTTATAACAGCAGCCCCCAGATGCTAAGACAAATACCATACGCATTAGGAAACCAAACCTAAGTATTTTCACATACTTTACATTATTTGACTTCCATCTGAAGATGATAATATAATTTTTAGAGAAGTTAAAATAGTCAAAGAAATAGAAAGTACAAGAGCTAGGATATAAACCCAAGTTTTTATAACTCAGAGTAAGAAATCTTTCTGAAATCTCTTTGCCTTCAAAGCTATTTGCTTCTACCATCTACCTTCTAAAGCATAGGAAGAAACAGTTTTCCTGGGCTGGAGATGTAGCTCAGTGGTTCTGCCACCTGCCTTGCAAGCACAAGGACTCAAGTTTAATCGCCGGTACCAAAGGGGGGAAAAAAAAAGTTTTCCTGAAAAGTTTCCCATTTGCTGTTGCCCACTGTCCCCAACCCAAACACAAAAGAGAAGCTCTTTTTCTTCAGAGAAAGTGTCTAAAATGGTTCAAAGTAAAAAAGGATCAAACTTGAGCTCTGACACTTTTGGCATGGTTTGCAGGTGAGGAAACACAGCTGGAATTACCGGAAGACTGCTGAAGGCTTCTGGCAAGATGGCAGACAGGGCATCACAGGCGCTCGCCTGCAGTGTTGGGTGTTCTGAACTCTGCAAGGCTCGGGGCAGAGGACCATTCAGCAACATGGTCCAGAACGTCACCACCTGGAACAGAGCATATGAGAACAAAATATAAACTCTGTGCAAAATTCCTATCACAAGACCAGGACACTGGGGACACTCCTAAATTGTGCAGCAGGTTTTCAAAAAAATTTTTTTGAAGAATTAACTCACTTCAAACCCCTCAGGTAGGCATCTCAACAATCTTTCAACCAAGCTTTATAAAAGACCTGTGATTTCACATTCATTTGCAAATCCATCTATGGTTTTGGAATCTTTAGTTTCTGTCCCATGGAATTTGTACTGGATTTGGCTGTATATTTGTGGAACAAAATACCTAAAACCCAGCCTTGTCCCTCCTCACCCTAGTCCTAAAGAATGTGGATAGAAGATGTGGTTGCCAGGGGAACCCACAACTATTCTCACTTATTAATATTTACACTTCTGTGCAATCCCCTCACACACTGAGTAGGGCTGACATGTGTAATCAATAGGATGATGTAGAAATGACAGTGTGAAACTCCACAGTCATAAAAGACACTATAGCTTCTGTCTTGCTCTTTTTCTGGAATCACTTGCTGTAGGAGAAGCTGCCTGCCGTGTCAAGAGAAGACACAGGCAGCTCTGCGGAGCAGTACTCTTGGGGAGGACCTGAGTGAGCCTTCTGCCAGCAGCCAACCCCAACTGGCTGGGTACATGAGAGAGCTACCTTACAAGATCTCGCAACCCTTGGACAAACCAGTGGACAAACCACTCCAATTCCTGACCCACCAAAACTGTGTGACAGGATAAATGTGTATTGTTTTAAGGTGCTATATGTTTAGGGTTAATTTACCATTCAGCAACAAAACAAATACTATGGAAAGTCTGTATCTTCTCTAGAGCTGAAATAATATCTGAGTGTGAACAGTTAAGATGCCTGCCACAGCCACACGTCTAGCAAGGGAAGAAGTCTGGATCCCAACCTGGTTCTAAGTCAGAGCAACACCCAGCTGGTCTCCCTGTGAATGGTTACACGAAAGCTGCAGTGGCTGCCCCAGGAAGGGACAAGGATCAGACATTTTTAATTCACTGAAGAATAATGAAAATGGTGAAGGAAAAAAATAGGATGAGGAGGGAAGGAGGAGGAAATATCAGCACTAAATTGATTTTGCTTTTGGCAGTGAGAAGCCCATATCTGTACACACACACACACACACATATATTTTTTTATCCCAAAGGTACTGCTCCACAGATGTGTGTTCATATATATAT